CCCGCCACGGCGCCCGCTGAAGATCTCCTTATGTAAAATTCATCTGCAGAAATCACCCCTGCCACTTCAGGCGGTGGGAAGTAGGCTGCTCGTCCCTGCTCACAGCAGATGTAGGCGACAGGATGTTGAGGTTCTGCTTTTGCTTCAGGCTCTGGGTTTTTGGCTCAAGCTTTGATGAATGTCACTGGGCCCCCTCTCGCGCGGTGTCCTCCCCTCAGCAGCGGGGAGGCTGGCGGGGCTCCTGGTCCCCCGGGCCCCGGCGGTGTGGCAGGCAGCACCGTGCTGCGGCCGGGGCCTCACCCGGGGTCCAGACACGTGAGCTGTTTCTGCCCCTGACCCGGGGTGGGAACTGGTGGCTTTGGCTGAACCGGAGGTGTCTTCAGGGAAGTTTGGAAGCGTGGTGGAAGGGGGGAAGAGATTTTCTTTGACAGAGGCCAGACAACAAAAGCGTGCAGCAATGACACATATATTTAACAAGAACACCAACAGATGGGAGCTTGGAAGAAAGGATCCCTGTAGGGAGGTTATTTGAGATGCTCGGCAGCGAGGAATGAGCCCTTTGAAGCATCTGATGGAGGCGTGAGAGGTAGCCAGACCAGCTGGACGGGTCTGGCCTGACCCAGCGGCCTCTCTGCCCATGCCAAAGCATTCCTCCCGCACGGAGCTGGCTGATGATTCACAGAAAAGCACCGGGCTGTGGTCTTGGCCTGCCACGTGAGCGCTTCGTGTGGTTACTGAGCGCCAATAGCTCTTCTTCGCAACGGGCCGGGCTGGTTTTGCAGCAGGACGGTTGTCTGCCCCGTCCCGGGTCACCCCAGGGACCTGTCCCCGGGAACGGGGTGAGCCAGCCCGGGGGTCTGGGGAGCTGTGGGCTCTGCAGCAGCCACTGCCCAGAGCGGGTAATGCCGCTGCTGCAACAGATCTGCTGCCCGAGCCCCGGGCATTCCTCGCTGCGCTGGGGCACTGCACGGCATCAGTAACCCTGCGCTCCTCTCTCTAGCGAGCCTGTGGGAGGGAATGAATTTGGGAGCGGGAGCCCTCGTTAGGGGCAAGATTCCCAAGGGCACAGCGTGGCACTGCACACCTCCGCGGGGCCGCTTGGCTGTTATTTTTAAACAACAGTGGTTTAATAAATAAATAAACTTGCTGCCAGGGAAGGACACAGCATCAGGCAGGGCTGCCGGAGCCGGTACGTCCCTGGAAAATGGAGGGGGCAGGATTTCCCTGC